GAAAGGCCAGAATAGGAAAATCTATAGACAGAAAATAGATTTGTGGATGCTTAGGACCAGAAAGGAGGGTAGGAGACTGGGGAGTTGATAGCTAAAGAGTACAGGGTTTCTTTTTAAGGTGATAAAAATGCTCTGAAACTGACAGTGGTAACGGTTGCAATAATCTGTGAATATACTAAAAACCATCAAATTATGCACTTCAAATGGATAAATTGTATGTGAACTGTATCTCAACAAAGCCATTTTTTAAAAAAAATGCCTTTTATTTCTGTTATTACTCCATTGTTCCTTTCCCTGCCCATCTCCAACTTCTTAAGACATCTACTCCCTTCACCCTTCTACCTTCTGCCCATCAATCGGTCCTTTCTCATATTCACTTTCCTCTCTCTTGACTCTATGGCCCATTCATTTCAATCACTACTAGTAACACACTCAATTCCCTTGCTACTTCCACGTGCCTGGGACTGGATCAACTCTCATGTCTGCTTTCTCTAAACCTACAACTGACTACTCCATTGCTGAAAAGGGTTAAACACACACACACCGCTTCACAGATCAATGCCACCTCCAACCTCAACTATTCAAAGCTTTAGTCTCACAATCCCTACCCTGCCCCTCCACTAAACCCACTTCTCAAAGCAGACGTCTTTCCTTCTATTTCACAAAGAAGGGAACACCAGCTTCTTCCTCTGCACGTGCCTTTCCTTCCCATCTTTCTATAATTACAATGGAAGATGGTTCTCGTCTGGTTCCTATTTCTTCTCACATACTCAGTCAAGGACACCAGCATACTTATTATCTATTCCCTCCCTTTTCTTTCCCTTTCTACTCATTCCTTCAATCTTTAACCATACTTGAGATTCTCCCAACTTTAAAAAACCACTCCCAAATCACCTCTTCACCTCAAAGTCTTCCCTCCAGCTACCATATCTTTAGCCTCCCATTCATAGTCAAGTTTCTTTAAAAAGTTTTCTTGGAGGATTCTGGGAAAATGGCACTGTCATAGTTCTTAACGTCTTTTCAAATCTCCACATGGAATGACAGAGCTTCTGGACAACAAAACCAAAACCCTTCAGACAGCATTTACAACAAAACTAGGTTACAAGGTGTGCCCTAAACTCCAAAATGTAAGCGCATAAAAACTAAGCACCCCCAGCCACAGGACCTGCATAGCACTGATGTCATTGCAGGACAAGGCAGAGAGAAGCAAATGGACCTGAGAACAGGTGAACCCTAAAATAATCAATGGAAGGCACAGCAGGCAAAACTGAGAACAGCCACTGGAAACAGGAGGGGTTTCACCATATGAATATAATGGTCCTGTGACAAGAAGGTCTGAAGGGGTGAAACCGACCTGGCTGCCAGGGGTCTCTTCTAGGACAGGGTCCCACACTGAAGAGAAACTGTCAAGAAGAGAATCAAATTGAGGACAGGGAAGCTCCACACAAGTTGGGGAGGGGAACAAAGGTAACAAATCTCAGAAAGCAAGCCACCGTATTTTTTAACACCACAGGAAAACGAAAGAAGAGGGAGCTCTGGGAAATTAGGAAAAGCTACTTTGAACAATGCTTCTTTCTAAAAGATAAAAACTAATTTTACGTAAAAATAAACAGAAACTATAGACGCTAAATCCCATATTAAACTTATTACAAAGAAAAAAATAAGTAGAATAGCATTCCTACAATGAAAACATGCCAGAAAAACATGTGCATATCAAAACTGCAATTTCTATTTCAAAATAGCTAAAAAGACATTGAGAATACTATATAAGGCATGAAATAACATCAGAATTAGAAGGTATGAGAAATAATTAGAAATTATATACTAGATATCACCACTTCAAAGTCCCACAGATTCTGCAATCTCAAAACATCCAAAACCTAACCCACCACCGTCCTTCCAGAAATCTCCTCCTGTGGTCCCTTTCTGAGTGAATAACACCATTCATCAAACTGGGCATCCCTTTGACTCCTTATTTTTAAAATTTTTTATTTTTTTGGTGACTGGCCAGTAAGGGTATCTGAACCCTTGACCTTGGTGTGACAACACTACACTCTAACCAACTAAACTAACCGGCCAGCCCATTCCTTCTTAATTCAGGCTCCACATTCAATGAAGGTGAATGAAGGTGTTCCATTAGTACCATCAAAATTTCTTTTAAATCTGTCCATGTCTTTCTAGTCCCACTGGCACGTCCCTTCTTTAGGGTACGATCATCATGTTCCTTGGACTATCCTAACAACCTCTTAACAACTGTCCTGCCTTTAGTCTTGCCTTGCCCACAACTCATCCTCCACACTTAAAGCCTTCAGTGGCATTTCTTTCCTTGCCTCTAAGATAACATTCAAACTCCTTTACATACACAACAGTGAGCCACTATCAACTCCCCATCCCCAAACCTCACTGGACACTCCATACTGCCTGGCAGTGTTCCCAATGTTTCCATCCTCTAGTGACTACAGCAAATACTCCCCATCCCCAAACCTCTTGCAACTTTCGTTTTGTCCACTTCTATTTTCACTGCCACCACTCTACTCCATGCCACTCGCTTTGGCCTGGATTTCCACAACAGCTTTCCTAACTGACTAGCATTTCTGTCTCCAGTTTTGCTCACCTCAGATCAATGTTCCCATTACAAACAAAATAACTAATTCTCAAATGTTACTGTGCACAAGTATCAAGTTGGGATTTTGTTAACATATAAATGTCTGAGTTCCCCCTTCGGCCCTCCCAAGATTGTTTCAGTACAGACTGACCAACTGGATTTCCTGATGCATGTGTTCTCTGGATGTGACAAACACTGCTTTAAAATTTAAGACTAATCATATTGTTTAAAACGCTTTTAGAGGTTGGCCCGTGGCTCACTCTGGAGAGTGTGGTGCTGATTAACACCAAGGCCATGGGTTCGAATCCCATATAGGGATGGCCGGTTAGCTTACTGGTCATCTTTTAAAAAATAAATTAATTAATTAAAAAAATAAATAAATAAAACACTTTTATAGTTTTTCACTTCCTTAGAATAAAATTCAAATACTTTTTGGGCTGGCCAGTTAGCTGAGTTGGTTAGAGCACAGCCTTATAAACAAAGGTCACAGGGGCCTGCCTGGTGGCGCACTGCTACAATGCGCCACTTGGGAGCGCGGCGGCACTCCCACCGAGGGTTCGGATCCCACATATAGACCGGTTCCCACTCACTGGCTGAGCGAGGTGCGGGCGCAACACCGAGGGTTGCGATCCCGTTGCCGGTCCCGGTCCGGTACGGGCACGACACTGAGGGTTGCGATCCGTTGCCGGACACGAAAAAAGACCAAAAAAAAATAAATAAATAAAAATAAAAAAATAACAAAGGTCACAGATTCAGATTCCCGTACTGGCCAGCTGCCCCCAAAAACCAAACCCCCCCCCCCAAAAACCCCAAATACTTTTTAACCTGGCTTATGAGGTATTTTAAGATTTGGACTCAACTACTTCTCTTCTTACCTCCCTTTCTTGCCTTCCTATGTTCTATTCACACTAAACATGTCATATTCTCCAACTCCCAAAGCAATCCATCCTTTCTAGACCTTCTTTCCAATGTTCCCTCTGCTTAGAAATTTCTCAGCATGGCTAACTCCTACTCATCCTTCATGTTTCTATTTGAACATCCCATTCTGTTTCCAAACACCCTAAACCCAGTTAGATGCCCCTGCTGTATGTTCCAAAAATCATGGCACTTACCAAACATTATTGTAATTACTTGTTTAACTGCTTGCCCCTCTGACCCAAGAGTGTAAACTCCACAAGAACCAGGTCTGTCTTTTACCCAGTGCCTACTATAGCTCCTGGCACAGAATAGGTACTTTAGAAAGAGAAGAAACAAGCCCCTTCATGATCTGGCCTCTGCTCACCAATTTGCCTTTATTTCTGGTACCCATCCTATCCCAACAATGCTTCAGTCACACTAAACTACTTTCAAGTTCCCCAAATCTCCATCTTTTCTCTTGTCTCTGGGCTTTCTTGACTGTTCCCTCTGCCTAGAACACGTTTTACCTAACTAACTCTAATGTATTCTTTCCTGACTGCCTAAGATGGATTCAGTGCCCAACCATAACAGCTTACTTCACCTTATTCCAGCGAGTCATAAGATTGCCCTAATGACTGTCTGATTTCCTTACTAAATTTTCTTTTAGACTTTTGGGGGGGTATGAGGGGCTGGCTAGTTTGTGGATCTGAACCTGTGACCTTGGTATTACAAGGCTGTGCTCTAACCAAATGAGCTAACCGGCCAGCAAGTCACTAAATTTTAAGATCTCTAAAGATACGAAGTTTATTATAATGTTCACTGTTGTACCTCCAAGGCCTTAACAGAATCGAAGATGCAGCGAAAGTTCTATAAAATTTATAGAACGAATCTTTGATCCACGAAACAATTCACCCTGTATACAATCCCATCAGCAAAATCTAGAACTCAGGACTTCATTCAATAACCCAGGAAACAACCAACCATTCTAATGGCATCTCTAGTACTTTATCCAATCAAAACAAGTAAGCTCACAAAAGTTTACTTTCACCTAAAGACAGACAGAATGCCCATCTGAAAATGAGGGATGCGTTTGGCACAAACCACTCAGAATCTTGCCCTTTTGAAGTCTTCAGATACATTTGGAAAAACACATTCAACTGGCTGGCTTCTCAACCTAGACAGCATAAAACGAACTGTCAAGCACCTTGTGGAGGACTTGAGGGTGTTCTCATTCTCTTATTTACAACCTTATTTTCTTTAGATAGAGAGAGAAGCCAACTATCAACAGTGTAACACCTGTGGCTTGAGGAGGCTTGCCTCAAGTTTCCCTCACTCTAACTGACAAGACTTTTCTGTATCCGTTTTTCAGAAACATAAATAAATAAAGCACAAGAGAAGAAACAAGTAGGTCATGGTACTTCTGCACCAGAGGTTTATAAGTGTTTTTCAAATGCATTTTCTGACCTACACCACAGGAAAAAGAACCTACCACACTCACTTCTGAGTCTTCTGCACTTTCATAATCCGACAAAACGGCTGAAAGAAAACAGAAATATGTGTATATCTTAAAAAGCAACAAAAACTATTATAATTACATTTCCTGACTGCTTATTGTGGGTCAGACTAAGATTCTCATTTAATTTTAATATTCTATGTGGTAGATAAAATTATAGTCTCCATTTACAGATCGGAAAACAGGCTCGGAGATGTGACCTGCTCAAGACCATTTTGCTAAAGCCTAGGCTCTTAACCACTATGCTACAAAAAGCCACTTCGTAGTCCTAAGTGCATAACGTCAACTTTTGGAAATTGGTGACCTGAGTTTATGTGCAAAAATCTCGTTATGATGAGGTAAAAAATGCTACTCACCATCGCCCTCAATGCCATCTTCACTCTCCTGAAGGAAAGCAGAAGACATGGATTAGTTCTGTGATTTTCAGGGGTGGGGAGCACAATAAAGAAACGAGGATGGAGAGCTGAAGACTCAACACAAAATGGTAGACTAGGAAGATGGGGAAAGTGGCATTCAAGGGAGGTCCGGTATCTTTGCTTCCAGCCCCAACTTCTGAATAAACATCCGCTTTCCTTCCGCAGCGGCTCTGCCCTCCCAGAAACCCCCAACCCCGCCTCTTCCCTTGGGGCTCCGGATGCAAGCCCACGCTGGGATAACTCTCCTCTCCTCTCCTCTCTAAAAACATACGCCCCAGCTCCTGACATCCCCGCCAGCCTCCCATCACCGTCCACACCCCGCCCCGGCCTGCGCGCACTCACACACTCCGACTCCTCGGCGCTCTTCGCTCCCCCGCTGTCCAGCCGCCGCAGATGAAGGGCCCCGGCTCGGCCTCCGCGCGGTGAAGGCAGAGAACCGCCGCTCCCGCCGCCTCCAGCGCTACCGCTGCAGCTCCCGCCACCCCGCGCCGGGGAGCCACAGCTGTCTGAGGCCGAAGCACCAGATTCTTCGTCCTCGGTGTCCTGCGAAGCGCGCTGCCGCCGCCGGTCCGCCATCTTACGGAAAACGGCCCCCGCCGGCCAGCTACTTACGCACCGCGCCCGTCGCAGAGGCTGCTGGGAGACTCAAGAACCAGTCCCGGCGTGCTTCGCGCGGCGTCTGTCCGCCCCGCTTTTCAGGGGCCCGGGCTCGGGGCGGGGCTGAGCCCTGCGGCACGTATGCCGGCGAGTGGGTTTACGTATGTCGGTGACGTGAGGGGGGCGTGGCGCGGCGCCCGGCTTCCCTTGGGCAGGCCCCGGGGGAAGGGAGCTGGACTCCGGCAGTCTCCCCGGGTGCCTTGTCCGGCCATCTTGGGCTTTCCAAGTGGAAGGCGTCGACCTGTCACCCTTTTACTGCAGCATTAGGGTGTTTCATGGTTTTCTATTTGCATTTCTCGTTTCTGCCTACGTTTGGGGCAGATAATTTTACTGTATTCGTTTGCTTGGTAAAATCACAAATGAAGGTAAACGTCTAAAAGCCGTAGTGTTGCGTCAGATTTGCCACACCAGCTCAGTTTAAGCTACAGAGTAAAGGAGAAACCAGCTGTCTGCAGTGAAGCCGGAGAGAGGACTTAACGTTTCAGCGTTTTGCCTGTGTCCTCGTTTCCTTTTCCCTTTTCACGTGTCTTCCCACCCAGCCATCCCCTCTCCCCAAAGTACAGGCTGCTATGATGCTAGTCTTACCAAGATTTCAGAACCGATTTGAAAAGAGGTGATTAGTGGAAATCGGTGTTGGTTCAAAATCCTGACTTATTTCCTTCTTGTTAGGGTTACCAAACTGAAATACTTTGATTTTGGCAAGGCATTTGTCAGCAATGAAAAAGATCAGTATATTTTCTTTGGACCATAAGGATATAGGAGATGCATGAGCTGTTGTTATTAGTGCACCTACAGGAGTGCACATTAATAATACATCAAACAAACAGATAAAGGTCATTGTGGCATAGCACAAGATTGTCCTTAATATTTTTATAAATGATATGGTTAAGGATCCTGATGCTTATCAAATTTATACAGTATGAAACTAGAAGGAATTATAAATGACTTGAGATTGAATCACGACACAAGCAATCTCAACTGGTTAGAAAAATGGCTAAATATGACAATTTGTAAGTCCAGATCCAAAAACCAACTTCCTGAGTTCAAAATGGAGGATGGCTGGCTAGTTAGCTCACTTAGAAGAGTGTGGTGCTGATAACACCAAGGTCAAGAGTTTGGATCTCTGTACCAGCCAGCCGCCAAAAACAACTACAAAATGGAGGATGTATGATTTAATACGTATTTTTAAAAAGGCCTGGATGAGCTTATCGATCACAAGCTAAATTAGTGAAAATAAGGCTGCCAAGCTTAGTGTCTAAATAAGGAAATTAATGTCTGCCACTTTGTCCTTCAGTTGTTTGGTCTGTGTCCAGTTTTTACGTGGATGTACGTAAATTTTTAACTCATCCAGAGGAAACTGAAAATTCAGAATCCTTTCTTTTGAGGAACAATTGTACAATATCTGAACGTTTAGCATGAAGGAAAGACTTGAGATAGCCACAGCAATCTTTAACTATTAGAGGGACTATGAGGAAAAGGAGGGATAGAATTTTTTTCATCACCCTGGAAAGCAAAGCAAGAGCAAATGGATTCAAGTTACAAGAAGTAAGATTTTGTCAATGAGGAAGAATTTTCAAACATTTAGGGAAAAAAATGTATGGGGAGAAAAAGTGTTGAAGCAGAAACTGGATTTCACTTGTCTAGAATGTTGTCCAGGGGAGATCATCTATCAGGGGTCAGACTAGATGACCTATTAGGTCTTTTTAACTCGGAGATTTTATAAACTTAGTTATCAGGCACCAAGTAGCCTACAATCTCTTGTGTTTTTAAAGTTGCCAATTACATGTAAAGAAACACACTGGAAAAAGAGGAATGAAATATACATTGTACTTATACATAAATGGAAGTGAGTATCTTATGTAAAGGGAGAAAGAATGTGTTATTCTTTTTTATTGTGAAAATAAATTTCTTTTTCCAAACTTTAAAAATATACAAGCAAAACTGTTTAATGCTTCCCAATAAATCTAATAAATTGAAGAAGTTCAAAAATTAACAGCCACAATAGTTTATTTACAATTGAACTCTTTATAAGATATTTACAAGACAACCAATTTTACACATCAGAAATGGTATCAAAAGTATGAATTACAACACAGACAACAATATGAAATGGGTATAAACAAAGCTGAAGTCGACAGACAAGCAATTTCTCTTTTTAATTTATTAACACTAGCTTAAACTTTGTTAAAGAAAGAAACAAAGAACTATGTTTTAGGAGAATTGCAGGGCCTTCAGTCAAAGATTGAATTCCACAGTGTTGTATCCCATGTAGGGAAAAATAAGACTATTTTCCCCCCATGCTCTAACACACTGTAATTTTCAGTCTTTAAACTTAGCTAATCTACTCTCCAGCCTCCTCAACAAACCTCAACATATCCAAATCAAAGGAAAATTGAACTAGAAGAGGGGACAATAAAACAAGAGGTTCTCAGGGAGAGGGAGAACCAAGGAAATAGAATTCACTTAAGTCTGGCCAAATAGCACCTCGTAGATTCCTCTCGGTCTAGCTCACAAGAATCTGGGGAGTCCCCTGACTAGGACACAAACATAAAGGTTAAATTTGTTAACCCATATTCAAAATTGGGAACCCAACAAATGCTAAAATCAAGAAGATACTGAGAGAGATCAAGGAACAAAATAAAGAGACACCAACTGGGGTCTTTTCTTTTTGGGCACATTATGAAGGAACATAACATAGGTCAGAGTAGGAAAGCTAAACAGCTTGCCACACTAAAATAATAAAGAACAAAGAAAATCTGGCCCAGTTTTTCTAGAAATCTCCTTCTTTTCCTTAAAGTGTGAGATGAGAGCCCCTAGTGGAATAAGTCCTACTTCTCTCTACGTCCTTGCTGCCATGAAGTTTACAGCAGGTTTTCTTATAGAGAGCCCACTCTCCTAAGCAGATGGAGTTACAAATGAAAACCCATAGCCACACACACACAAAAAAGGAGAAAGAAGAGCAGCAAGATCATCCAAGAATACTACACGTGCTGCCGGAATAATTCCTTTAAAAGTCAAACCCAGGGAGCACAGATCAACATCTCACAAAAAGCTTTAGCAGTGGGAGGCCCCTGAGGAATTTTTCTTTCTCTTCCCACAATGGTATCCTATTCTCTCTCATGCTCCACTGATGGGCCGGCCACACACCCTACATACCTTGGCTTCTCCTCTAAAAGTGCTAGTAATCTGGGGACATATTCTCTTCAAGGGTAAAAACCCCTACCTTCTAGGAGATTAGACCCCTACTTGTTTTCACACAATAGTCCTGAAGACTAAAGAAAGGCAATTCCTATATATTTAAGACCAGAGGTCTTGGCTCTATTTTCCTTCCAGATAGTTAAAAGAGATCTTACACTGAGACCAAAGTGGCCTGGGAGTGCTGTCCTGAATTTTTTTTTTTTAACGAAACAGGGGAGAACCAAGATGGTACACATACAAATCTATCTTTACAAAGTGAATGGAGAAGCTCATTAGGTACATCTGTTTGTTTCAAGATGTAGACATTTGCCAGCCAAAGGAAGTACATATTTCCACCCCCTCCCTCCACCCTCCCTAAATATCTACCCCACCACCAAGAGCTCAGCTAAAAAGATAAAGCCCAACTAAGGAATACTTGAGAAGTGATGTGACACAAGGACATCTATATAGGTTCTGGCATGCCATCCCCGAATGCCAACTCCTTTGTTTAGAGCTGTAACTTGTCCAAAACTAACCATCCCCATTCTCTTTTCCCAAGGTTTTACTTTTTGAGGGGTAGGGGAAGAAATTCAATTACCCATTAACTAGGAAAATTACAGTCAAACATCCTTTCCCACGTGGCTATATCACAGAATAGTTTTAAGAGAACTATCTTTTCAGACATTAACTACCAACTCTCCAATCTCTTTTCCACTCTGTGAAGATGACTTGCTTCATCACTTCACTTGTTATTCCTCATCTGGTCCCAAAGCTCGTGGTGAGGTTTTTTGTTTATTTTAGGGTAAATTCCACTACCCAAACTATAAGGAGGGTATACCAAGGCAAGAAGAGTGCCTTGCAGGCACAGCTCTAAGGGCAGGGGTTGCTTCATATTCACATGTCTAAAAGAAAAGAGAGCCCTTTTAACCCTTTACCATAGGCAAATTTATGGAAGCAGACCCCTAAAACATCCAAATCTGCCATCCCATAGATTTAGCTTGAGAGCTCATTTCCCCAAAAAGGGAAAAGAAATGCCAATCATCCTCCACAATTTACAATTAGCCCAATGAAAGAGTTTTTGTGAAATCAGAGCAATGAAAACAAAACCAAAATCAGGGGAGTATGGAAGGGCATCAGCGAATGATAACATACATGAGGACATAGGTCACATACACAGGTCTCTGCCACTCTCTGGGAATGGCATGCTACAACTATCTGAAGACAGAGGGTTTTTGCCAGCACAGCTATTTCCTACATGTCCGGTGAGGTGTTTGCTTCTTCTGGATCTCCAACCTGCATCGGCTACGCTCATCCAACCAGGGCAGCTCAAAATTCCTGGCAAAAAAGGATGCGGAAATCAACTTGCAAGACTAGAGGGGATTCAGTGTGGACATGATAGCAATCCAAAAAAGTCACTATGTCCCTCATCACTCCTAGCCCTGACTCCAAAGTTCCAAGTTTGGAATGTCTTTCTTGCCTCAAAGCCAGAGCAATAGTGTACCATTAAAATGATGGAATAACCTATTTCTAACTCAAAAAGCAATCCTCCTAATTCCTGTCTTGGGAATCTTATCACTGCAAAAGCTAGTTGCCCAGGTAGCCTCACTTCTGTCAAAGAACCATGGCTATGCCTAAGCCACCTGGTCCCACCTTATATCTAGGCTTCCATGAAATCTGAAATGGAGGTGCAGGCTACCTGAGAGGGGAGGAAAAAAAAACTTTATACTTACTGTGGAGTTAATTTTGGTAATGGTCGTCCAAATGCTACAACAGGCAAGAAGGGGGTAATCATCAAACTTTCGACTATGGAAGAAAGTCAAATGGGACCTCG